TGGTGGAGGAGCGCGCGGCCGCGAGCAAAGGAGGGAGGGAGGGAAGGAAGGAAGAGAGCGAGGTAGGCAGGCAGGCGGGCGCGGGGTCGGTGACTGAGGCAGCGGAGGAAAGCGAGAGCCCGGCAGCCGCTTCGCGCCGCGTTACGGCGCGGGCTGTTGGAGGGGGCGGCCGTCGAGTCCGAGAAGAAGCGGGCACCGGCGGCGTTGGTGCTGGCGCCTGGGGGCGGGGGACTGGGGAGGCAGAAAGGGGGGTCGCTGCGGTGCTTCCCTTGCTGTCGCGCTCTCCTTGCCTTTCTGCCGGCTCCGCGGGCTCCTCCCGGCGTCTCCCTCGCCTCCGGGGCCCCGCTCCCCGCCCCCCGCGGTATGTCTTGATCCCGAGCAGCGGGTTTCATGGGGCTCCTCAGGATTATGATGCCGCCCAAGTTGCAGCTGCTGGCGGTGGTGGCCTTCGCGGTGGCGATGCTCTTCTTGGAGAACCAGATCCAGAAACTGGAGGAGTCCCGATCGAAGCTAGGTGAGGAGCAGAGGCACGCCGGGCTGAGCGGGCGGCGTGGAAGGGGCCGGGCCGGGGAGGCGGCGCGAGCGGGGCTTCGTCTAGCCTGGGGTCTGGCTCGCGGGCTGCCGGGGGAGCTGGGGCTGGGGACGTCGAGAGCACGGGCTCCGAGGAGAGTGTGAATTCAGCTTGAGTGGCGCGCTGGGCTCGCGCGGCGCGGGACAGAGGTTGCAAGGTTGGGCTCCCCGGAGCCAAAAGGTTCCCCCGAAGTAGGCATTCCACGGGGAGAGGGCGGGAGCGGAGCGACGGCGGGGGGCGCTGGAGGGGACCGGCCCGTGCGGCCCGGGCGTTCCCTCGGAGCCGCCCGGAAAGCCCCGCGGGGCAGGCGAGGGGCGCGCGGATTTGAGCTGCGGGCACCTGGGCGCGGAATCTGTCGGGGATGGGGAGGCGCTCCAAGGGGTAGATGCGCGGACATGGAGGGAGATGCTGGGCACCACGGAGAGTAGGAGCAATCACACTGTAGTGAGTTGCACTCTTCTTGTGCTGGGGGCAGCAAGGGACCACACAACGGACGGGAGGAATGAGCTGCCCAGGTAGTACAGGAAAGCAAATAACACGCTTCAACGAGGTGCTGAAGCGAGGCGTCCAGGCTTTTAAGTAGATTTTTAGTGGCACTAAACCGATTCGTAGTTTTGGGCTTAAGATAGGGATATGAATTTAGGAGAGGAGGGAACGCCGAAGGGGAATTTTTGAGATTCGAGTTCGCGAAGGGAAAAGTAGGATTATGCAAAAAGTGAACCGTACGGTTAAGTACCTTAAGGAGTTAACAGTGTTTGCTTTGATGGTTCTGAAATACAAGAAGTTGGATAGTGAAGTTGCAGGAGACCGGAAAAATGCACAGATATAATAAGTACTTTCAGAATAGTAAGGAATTTCGGCATTTGGGAGGAGCTCAGGATGGGAAGGGGGTGTTAAAAGAATGTGATACATTTTGATACAAAAATGTACTTGGCACTTAAAAATCAGCTCAAGAGGCCATACTTTGAATATGGAAAAGTAATATGAAGTGTTTTTATGCATATATTTTCACCTCAGCGTCGTTTGAAATACTTTTTGAGAAGCAAGCGATAAAATACCAGCAGCAGTATCGTTTAGACTAAGAAGTAACAGCTAGATGCTACCGTGGGTGATGATTAGTATTTAAGACAAATGTATCAGAAAATAATTGTAATATTACCAGTGGTAGCTATTTGTTGTTTTGGTAGGCTTTGCAAAAAGCCTTGGAGATATTTTGAAGAGCATTCTGGCAAAGGGCATCAAATGTAATGGGAGCGCAAGAGGAGCTAAGGATAATTCCAGTCCTCAACTCTAGGGTAAAACTCACCCTGTACAGTTTTGAAGAGATGTCAAATTTATTTACTATGATTTTATTAATGAGTCTTGTATGATGGAAAAATACTCACTTTAAATACTGAAGATTGGTCAATACACCTTTTCTTTTTGTTCAGGTCCATTTAGCAGCATCCAGGGTCATATTCTGTCCTCATTAATGATTCAGCTTTACAGAAAAAAAATAAGACTCTTAGGGAAATTTGCCTTATATTAAAATTTGTACTTATTCTTTGTATTGCTATGGATTTCTTACACACATTACGGTGGGTTAGGATAACTTCAGTTTTTTTATTTTCTTTCTTTGCCTAATATTTTTTTCATAATACCTGAAAGTGGTTTTCATAGACACAACCTGAATGATTTTAAGAAGAGAGTTATCTGAAGGTGTAGAAGGCCACAGCTAGAAAACGTTGCACTTTTATTTGTTTTTTTGTTTTGGGGGTGTGTGTGTTTTTTTGTGTTTTTTTTTTTACAAGAAAGAAACTTTTAAATTCCATGAGAAATAATAAATATGCATCAAACTAAATACTTCTAAAAAATGAGCCAGGAAAAGGAGCCCCAAGTATAACACACTTGAAGGAACTAATACTCTTGAGATGCAGAAATATGGCAAATAAAATGTGGTGCTTTATATCAGCAATCTTTGATTTAAAAAGTCTTATAAAAGGGCAGTACTAAAACAGGTGTTGCCAGTTAGTAATCTTCCTTAGGAAAGGAAGGCAGAAGAAGGCATAGTTTCACAACTGGACTCTGTACTAGGCACTTTTCATATGTGATATTTTTATTTAATCTTCCAAGAACACTGTAGAAAGCCATTTTTACAGATGCAGAAACAGGCTCAAAGATTTTGTAACGTGACCACATAGCTAGTAAGTGTCAGAACCAGTGTTGGAATCCAGGCTATGTCTGATTTCAAATCAAGTGTTCCTTTAATTGTACCAGGCTGCTTGGGACTTTATAGTAACATTACACTAAGATTTAGCAGTTTGAACAGAATTTTTTTAACTGTAGTACCATGTTAATTGCATTTATTGTGAAGAATGAATATCATTTTGAGAAAATCCAATTTCTGACACAAAGGAATTGGTTTAATGTAATGTCTGGCCCTTGTTTATATCTGTATAATGAACATAATTATATTACCCAATGAAGCAACTGAAATAGCTTATTTCTGTTATAGGAAAAAAAATCTAGTTGTTTTCTGTAAGTGTAAAATCACAGTATTAAAAAGCATTTTTACTTTGTCATTAGGAAACCTATTAAACATTTTTGCTCCTTATTTTTTCTGTTGTGTCGTTAGAAGATTCTAAAGGAATGTATTGTCTGATAATGCCATATGCACCTTGATTTGAGAGTATTTTGATGGTGATGCCCCAAGTAGAGCAATAGATGTGCTCAAAACTTAGGTGTATTTATTGACTACTTGGGAAATTAAGTATATAAACAGGAGTTCCTAAAAAAGCCAATATCACATAATATAGTTTAAAAAATGAATATGGGATCATGGTATACATGTTACTCTGTATTTTGCTTTTTTTCATTTAATATCACTGACAGCTTTCCAGGTTCATACATAGAAGTTTGACTTACTTATTCTAATAGCTGTATAATATTGCATAGTTCGCATCTACCATCAATTAGTAAGCTGCTATGCAAATAATGAACATTCAGTCCTACCCCACCCCCACTTTTTTTGCTTTAAAAAATTTTTTTTGTCTTGGTATTATATACAGTGTTACAAAGAAACATCCTGATATGCCCAGCTAACTCCTTGTGTGTTGGTATCATTTTCACTAGGATAAATTCTCTTATCTATGGGATTGCTGAGACCAAGGATATATGCATTTTATAATTTAAGAAATTTAAAAATTTACTTTTCAGAAAACTTGTTTTCCAAAAGGTTACAGTAATCCACACTGCCAACACACACTCACAAACACTGAATACTGTAAGCGTTTAATTTTTGCCAGTCTGAAGCTGTGAAATATGTTGTTGGATTAATTTACATTTCCTCAACTTCTAATTAGGTTGAACATCGTTTACTTGTTAGTTCATTTTCATTTGTCTGTTGGGTAGTTTATCTTATCCAATTTTTGTTTTAAGTATTAGAATTAGTAATATATTTTAAAAAAATATTTTTATTGATTTCAGAGAGAGGAAGGGAGAGGGAGAGACAGAAACATCAATGATGAGAGTCATTGATCGGCTGCCTCCTGCACGCCCCCACTGGGGATCTAGCCTGAGATCCGGGCATGTGCCCTGACTGGGAATCAAACCCCAATCTCCTGAATCCTAGGTCGATGCTTAACTTCTGAGCCCTGCCAGCTGGGCTAGAATTAGTAATCTTTTATCTGTCATATGTTTTACATCTGTCTTTTTCCAAGTCTGTCATTTGCCCTTTGACTTAATGGTACATTTTGATTATACAGAAGTTAAAACATTTACACAGTCAGATACATCAATTTAAACAAGATTTCTTATGTTGTTTAAGAAGACTTCCCACAATTGAGATTATGTACATTCTCTATATTTTGTTATAGTATTTTATAATTTGTATTTTTTACTTTTAACTCATTAAAGCAATCATGTTTATAGAGATTTATTGCAATATCTCTCAGTGAATAGCCACTTATGGCAAATATTATGTTAATAAATAATCAGTTTTTCTCACTGTATGTTATGGTACTTCTTTTATTTACATACTAAGTTTTTGTATGTTCTTGGATCAATTTTGGACTCCATTCTTTCCCACTAATCAGAGATTCTTTAAATGTTAGGGACCCATAGGTAGATTTCAAGGCATCCATTAATTCCCTGAAATTATATGCATAGCTTTCATCAGATTTGCAGAGGAGTATGAGATCCCGTTAATGTTAAGTCACTTATTTGTAGTAGATGGTTCATGTTTAATGGAGTATGTTTTTTGTTTGTTTTGATATTAACATGTTACAACATGTAGCTTGTGAGTTACATTTAGGATATAAGCATATGAGTTAAGAAAAAATTTCTTTGGATGTTACATAGAAAAAACTTCAGTTTTTTAAAATGTATACATAATTTTCCTAATGAGATAGGGAAGATGACATGAAGTCAAAATGAAAAGTTACTTAGTTTACTAGTTACTTACTTAGTTCTTTACTTAGAACTGTGTGTGTCAGAATTTGATGCTTTTTTATACAAAGGAGTTCTTTCTGAATCTCAGGAGCACACCTGTTGCTAATGCTCACTGTTGGAACAGTGCAATGAAACCGTTGTTTATGTAAATGTTAGAATTATGTGCTTGATAATTTTATTTTCTTTCTATAGGGCCTAAGAATTTAAGATAATATTTTTTGTTCATATGCTTAAATACTACTACATAAATTTATAAATGCTTTAGGACATAATCTTTTCAGTGAGGACAGTAATTCAGAATGGATTATGTAGTTATTTTCATTGGTGAAAATTATGTTAGTCACTGTTTATAAAACCCTGCTAAATTAATGAACTAATCATTCCAGGCCACGGTTGAGACTGCTCTTTGGAATTTCGTAGTTTTTTCAAGTGCCTGAAACCATACAATACCTCTAAAATGTTCCTGGGAATAATAGATTTCTCTACTTATGAAATTGTTTGGAAACCTCACAGTA